GCGAAACCCTTCTGAGAACCTCAAAAACAGGTTAATGTTCACCACTTGGGTACATGTGGCCACACTTCACCTGCTTTAGAAATGAAGCTGCTTCTCGGGTTGCAAGAAGACCTCAATCCAACTTCTGCCAAAATGTAAGGAGACACTTCCTGACGTTAAGATCTGTCCGACCACGGTGGCACTCCATCTTTGGCAGAGGGTTTAACTGTCTTGCGCATCGCAGAGGGTTAGACTAGAACATCTTTGGGGTCCCTCCCAATTCCACAATTCGGATTCTTTTAAAAAGTGCCAGAGGTTCACGCCCTCCAAAATCTTTTCCTCCCCACTCATGTTCCACCAGCACGTCCCTACGCCATCACGACTCCACTGATCGGCCTGTCAAACATATGTCAGATCCCTCCTTCGGGAATGTTGCGCAAAGGTTGGGTTTTGCTCTGCAGGACACGGCCTCGCATGTTTTCATCCAACCCGGGCACAACTAGGAAAAGGAATCTAGGAGTGGGCAATTGGGGATCGTCCTTTTAAATTTTACTCAAGCCTAGCCAGAAGACATCTCAGAGGTCATGTAGTCCAACCCACCCCCGGCTTGTTGCAGGACCCAGACAGACGGTTAATCGGCTCTGTCTGAAGGTCTCCGTGCCTTCTTTCAACCTCAGGATTTGAGGGCAAAGACTTAAGGGGGAAATGTGACTTTCTACTCTTGAGATGTGGGATTTGGGAATTGCAGATGGGGGCAATTTAAGATTATAGTACTGGCAGAACAGCCTCTAAACTAGAGCAGTCTGTCCCTGGAACTCCCTGCATTGAGTTCTAATATAAAAAAGGGATTTTCCTAACAATACCCACATATTGAACAGATGGTGTTTAATCTACTTAATGTTAAATATCAAATTGAGAGGCGGCTCGCAGGGGGATTTGCTAAGCCGGTGCATTAATTTCATTCATTTTAGTCCTCAAGAAATGAATGTTCAACAGCTGGCAGACACTAAGACCACCCTGCACCCCTAAAAAAAGAAGATTGGCCATCTCATGTGGGATCCAAAGCTTGCCCGGTGAATGAACAAGAACGTATTTTAGGATTCCCTTCAAATCTCAACTGAAAAGCTGGAATTTAATTTAAGCCTTGACACAACTCTCCAAGAAAAATGCCCAGACATCACAGATCGCAAAGAGAAACTCTTTCAATGTTTCTTTTGATTTCTAAGAAACAATGGCACCCTCCAAGCCCCAAACCTCCTTTGAGTTCAACATCCCATTTCTCTGTCCTGCCCCCGTTTCACAAAACCATCTTCTTCCTTTGCTGAAACCCCAAGCTGAGAAAAGGGGGTGCCCTTTTAATACCACTCTCCGTGCGTTTTATTAAAAGCACGAGAAGTCTATCCAGCCGGAAAAAAAATGAGTGCTGTGAAAAGAAATCCCCCAGAATTTTGTTCCTCCCGACCTCTGTTTCCATTTGAGAGCTGCTTTTGAGATTCTTTTCAAGAGAGATTTTAAAAAGAGATTTTTTAAAGAGATTGGGTCCGAGATTCTTTTTGAAAGAAGGGAGCCCCAATCGAAGCGGGGCAGGTGGGGAAGAAGCCCGACCGATGGTGGAGCCCGGCCCACCATTAAGACACCCATTCTCAAGCCCCCGCGAGAACGAGGCAGAAAAACAGAAGCCTCTCGCACCAACGAAAGCGGGCGTTCACAGAATCCCACGGAGTCCCTCTAACCTTCTTGAATTAAGCCCATTTCACACTTTCTCAGCTTGGCATTTCCTCCGTCGACCTAAACGCGTTTTGCAAAACCACACGCCTGTTTGCTAGCGTGCGCGGGTACTTACCAGGGCAGCTGAAACACGGAGGCACCCACCGTTCATCGCTCCCATTACGGAGAAGAGACCCCCAGCCTATTCAGCCCCCCATCAGCCTCACCGGGAGCCCCCACGCCCCCAGCAAAGCCACGTCCCCCAGCTGTGCCGCCCAGATGTTTGGAAGGGGAGGACAGTGAACGCAAGCCCAGCCAAGGCACCCTTTAAAGCAGTGTAGGAGGAAGGAAACGTCTTTTAAAAAAAAAAGTTTTAAGCGCAGATATCGTTTTGAAACTTATCAATCCAGGAGGAAAGTTTGAAAAAAAAAAAAGAATGAAGCTGTGGGTGGAGAAAGCTAGGCCTGAATTTCATCCTCCCCCCCGTTTTTTTCTTCCTGACATCAGATTTGGAGCCACACTTTGCGGTGACGGGAAAATAAAAGCGTTTTTTTTTTCTTCTGGCGTGCGATTCGGCGAACTTCGCAAAGAGCGGGCCTTTTCTCTAAAAAGGAAAGAAACGAGAGCGCGCGAAAAAACCACCTTTTATGCAAATGAACCTGAATGCGATTTGCAAGCGAGGAGAAAAGAGAGGGTGGAAATTATGAGCGAAGGAAAATGCGACTGACTCACAAGTTTCTTTCCCCCCCCCGTCCTCTTCGCAGAAAACGAGGGGATGAAACCCCTTTGGCAGCGGCCCGAGAAGACGGAGGCTAAAGTGGGTGCTCGGTTGGCATCTGGCAGGGACCCGACTGGTTTTTTTAGGCGTTGGGTGAACCCCGTTAGCGCCTCCCGCCGCCGTTTATTTCAGCCGCACCTGCTGGCTTGACCCGGGTTGAGTCTCTGGTGTGGACGGGGCCAGGAGTTTGAGAAGGCGCGATGGGGAAATTAAGGCCGGCCTTGCGACAAGCCAGATTTTTCCCCCCTCCGAGAAATGGTTCAGGATAGGACTTCCACCCCGTCGGACCTCAGGGCAGCACTTCGCTCCCCGGAATAAGCCGCCCCACACAGCAGAATCACCGATTTCGGGCTCAAGGTAGACTGCCTCTAAATAGCTAGGCTCTACCCACGTGGCCATGACTAATCCCCACTGACGGGCTTCTCTTCCTCCTCCTCCTCCTCTAATTCCTCTTTTACAGCCATCACAATCTATGTTTTTTTCTTCCTTTATAATGATCTATTGCAGCGTTTCTCAACCTTAGGAGCTTTAAGATGGGTGGACTTCAACTCCCAGAATTCCCCATGCTGGCTGGGGAATTCTGGGAGTTGAAGTCCACTCATCTTAAAGTTCCTAAGGTTGAGAAACGCTGATCTATTGTTTATTTTTTTTTAACGTTAATTTTTGGGATTGATTGAAAAGCAGAATAACCACCATGAAAAACCAAAACACCCTTGGCAGAGAATTCCCTAAAAGGAAATGAGCATCGTCGAGTCTGCTCCACGAAAGCGAAAACTCAGCTAAGTGACTGTGGTTTGTATCTGTATCCTGGCTTGTCAAGCAAGCCACAATGGGCTGGATTTCCCACCAGGCTAAACCCAACCCACGCACAAATCCGGCCACAACCTCACCCCCCCCCCTTTACGCCCCATCATAGAAAAGGTTTGGAAGATTTGATCGGCATTTAATGGGTGACCGACTACGCCAAGCAAGCACATTTGCAGAAGAGGGGGTGACAAACCAAGAGCCCTCCCCGTGGCTTGTTCACAAACTTCACGGCATGCCATGGTATAAAAGGAACCTCCCCTGCCCGACTGAAAAACGGGGTGGGGGGCGAGAATGCAAAAAGCCCAGCAGCTGAGCTTAATAAATACACAACTTTAAAAGCCAACACAAAACACAATTATTTTTTTTCAGAATTAAAAGAAGGTTGTTGGTAGGAAAGACGCTTAGCAAACTTTCTTCCTGCCCGGCTTTGTCTTCCAGCCGCGCTGCCAACTGAGTTTCGTAGAACGGCCAATATGTTGGGGGAGGGGGCTTTGCTCCACTGTTCCAGGCGGGGCCCTGATTTTATTCCCCCCCACGGGGGTGGGTGGGGGGCAAACAAAAGGCCTGGAATCGGACAAGGAGGGCAATTCTCGCCACAAAGTTGGAAGCAAGAGAGGAAGGCGAGGGGGGTCCTGCCTTCGCGTCGCCCAGAAAAGGGAGGGCAGGGGGGCATCAACCTCGCCGAAGATGCCACCGTGTCGGACGAAGCCCTTTTTCTAACTCCAAGGGGCTGCTGCAAAGATGCTCTTCCATTTCCCCTTCTTCCAAACGGCATCCTTGGCGCCCGGCTCGGAAAAACGGGCAGGAACTTGAACATTTCCACAGCCTTCTGCTTTCCCGTTCCTCGTGCCTCTGAACCATTTTTCCCTTCTTCCCGAAATTCCTGCACACTTCCCTTCTCCAACCTTCCGCTTCTTCCTCCCTCCTTCCGAAACAGCCGGCCTCGGCTAGGAACGGAGCTCCCCATCTCAGGAGGCCGGGAAGCTGTCTTGGCGCTAAGAGGGGTGGGCTCGCCAGCACTCCTGAGAGCGGGGTGGTGGTCTGGGTCTCCAGGTTCCCATCCCATGCTTACCCACTATTCATTTTGCTCTTTGCCCCCCACCCCAGCAGGAAAAAACTCACAAAGGGTGGAGGTCCTTCTGGGCTAAGCAAGGCTTTTTCTGTTGCTGGATGGGACGACCCTGTACAACACCCACAGCTGGCCGTGCGGGAAAACAGTGGAGGGGTGGGTCGAACCCATTGCCAGCCAAGATGATCGAGGCTGTAAACAGCGCCCTCCTTCTTGGCCCTCTGCCTCAAGCGCTGGGCACAGAGAGGCCTCTGTAGGAGAGCTAGGAAGAGCCGGCAGCATTTTTGTGAAAATTGGACGAGATCCCCCCCCCCAGAGTAGCTTTTTCTGGGG